CCTGGAGGACCTCAGTTAAATAATTGTCTCCGTCTCCTGCATATATCCTCATCTATGATAGGTTCCATAGTGATGATGGTGTTCATTCACTCTTTGTTACTTTTAATCTGAATTGCCAAATATTGAATATTACCTTCTATTTTTGTTGGTGTTTCTGAAAATCAAGCTACCGTTACTGCTTTATTTTGACATCTGACATCCTTTTCAACTTTCTTCTCCAACTGTCTGAAAAATGATCCTCTGATCATTTTCAAGGGACATTATTTCACTGATAAAATTTTAATTTTTCTCAATAATTCTGCTGACTACGCTAAAAGCTTTTCTCCAGAATCTCTTTTGGTAATTTTAGCGCATCGCTTTTGCCGTTCATCTCACCAACTCTTTATCACTGATTTCTTTCAGTTTCTCTTTTTTCATTCACTCTTCACACCTTTCATATTATACAATTTAATTTTGAAGTTTAATTCTACCATAACTTTTTACCAAAATTAATCTTTCAAGAAATTTAGGTCTTTCCTTGATTCCTTTCTATAGAAGAGAGTTCTGGCCCACAGATTTCCAATTGCCCATTTCTTCCAAAGATTGCCGCTTGATATCAATTTTATAAATTTAGGACATCCTGAAGAACTCCTTCTTCCAGAAATTCCTTGGCATCTCCTGTGACATACATAAGGTTCTTGATTTTTTTGTCCTTTGAAATATCAAATATTTCCCCCCACTATTTGATATACATGTACAAAAACCTTGTCTTTTGTGCTGTCCTCAAGTTTCCGCCTGGCCTCACCATCTCCTTCTGATTAGGTTCTTGTTTGGTTTTTGTTGAGTCAATAGTGTTTTGGATGACTGCTACCACTGCCAACAGTGGACATCTTCCTCGTTGTCTTTTCACATATTTTTACAAATAATTCTATTTGTAAAAAACAGACTGTCCTTAAAATCAACTTTGATTTTCAGGTAACTTGTTTTTATGAAAGTTTTCCCCAAAATCAGCTGTGCTTGATAATCTACTCCATGTCCTACACTGCTGTAGCCACACACTATTCCCAGCACTTTTGTTTAGGATGTGCTACTTTACATACTGAAGTTGTGATCACAGCTCCATCAGTTTGTGCTTCATCTTTTTATACCTAAATAGTAGCAGTAAGTCCTGTATGAAACAGAGACAATATCAATCCTTCAAATTAAGAGTGGACAAATTTTGTCTGAATTTGGAAATGGCTCAGTTACCAGATGCTGGTAATTTTGGTTTGAAAAGGAAAATTTTTTGAGGAGTGCTCTGAAGTCACAATGGCAAAAAGTACATATTTGGCATCATTAGAAGCAAATTATATGTTAAAAAGTTAATTACTCTAGCTTAGAAAGAGAGAAACAACATGAAACAATATATTCTTGAAAAAGAGTGTCAAAGACATGCACTGACCATAATCATAGGTACCTCTGGGTTTATTGGTTTTTAATGGCTTTTCAGCCACAATTGTTTTTTTAAACACAGTCATTCAGATGGCATGGCATGGCATAGGACGGTTATAACCAGAGAAGTGATTTTGCAATAACACCTAGTTCTCCTGTCCCAAAACATTGCTCAATAATTTCCAAGTACCTGCAATACCCCTGGTCCTCCGTGCAACACTAACATGAGCAATCTGCACAATCCCTTTGGAGTTATGACCACGTTAAACTTGATACTTTCTTTGGCAACAACTGCTGTGTATGCAAGAGAAATGCCACAAAGTTTACTGAATACTGTTATATTTCTGCCCTTCCACACTCAGAGTATGGTGCTTGCAGGCCCCAGGTTGTTCCTGATGAACACTGTCAGTCCCATTTCTCATAGTCTGATGAGGACTATAGAATCATAGAATCACAGAAAGGTTTGGGTTGGAAGGGACCTTTCAGGGTCATCTAGTTCAATACCCCTGCAGTGAGCAGGGACATCTTCCACTAGACAAGGTTGCTCAGAGCCCTGTCCAACCTGACCTTGAATGTTTCCAGGGATGGGGCATCTACCACCTCTCTGGCCAACCTGTGTCAGTGTTTCACTACCCTCATTGTAAAAATTGTCTTCCTTGTATCAAGTCTGAATCACCACTCTTTTACTAACAATTTCTCCTTGTCCTATCACTACAGGCCCTGCTAAAAAGTCTGTCCGCATCTTTCTTATAGGCCCCCTTCAAGTATTAAAAGGCTGCAATAAGGTCTCCCCGGAGCCTTCTGTTCTCCAGGCTAAACAGCCCCAACTCTCTCAGCCTTTCTTCATAGGAGAGATGTTCCATCCCTCTGATAATTTTTGTGGCCTCCTCTGGACTCGCTCCAACAGGTCCATGTCTTTCTTATGCTGAAGACTCTAGAGTGGAGTAGAGGGGCAGAATCCCTTCCCAACCTGCTGGCCACACTTCTTCTGATGCAGCCCAGGATACAATTGGCCTTCTGGGCTGTGAGTGCACGTTGGCAGCTCATGCCCAACTTTTCATCCACTAGTACCCCCAAATCCTTCTCAGCAGGGCTGCTCTCTATTCCTTTATCCCCCAGCCTGTATTGATACCGGGACTGCCCTGACTGAGGTGCAGGAACTTGCACTTGGCCTTGTTGAGCCTCAAGAGGTTCACACGGGCCTGCATCTCAAGTTTGTTGAGGTCCCTCTGGATTTTGAGGATACAGTGCCTTGTGAAGCAGTATCATATAGGTAGGGTCCTGACTCTGGTCTCGTACCTCTCCCTCACTCTGGCTGAGACAGGCTGGGGCTGTCACACTGAACCCAGACAAGGAGTCTCCCACAGGCAGGACGAGGTCCAGCAGATCAGGAGCAGCGATAAGAACCAGCAAGATAGTTTATATCTAGGTTGTCGTATGAAATGTTCCAAAATTATAAAAGGTACTGCTATGAGTCATGGTTTCGGAGCTGTTACGTGAGCAAGTATCTATTAACTTGTGCTGAGTAAGGACTTATGGTTGCAGATGTTGTTATTACGAATGCTCCCATCTCCTCTGTCCTCACCAGGCAGCCTGTTCCTCTGCTGCCCTCCCAAGTGATTCGCCCACGCTGTCCCTACAGACTTCAGGGAAGGGTTGGCATCATTTCCCTTTTCTTTCCTTCTCCCAAAAGAGCGAAACACTCCTTCAGCTCAGTTTAATGCCCAAATCCTTCCCTCTTTTTCATTTGTCCTGTTCTGGTCCCAGATGTTGTTGTCATGTAACATTGCTGAGAGAGTAAGGATGGGTTTATTGACGGTTCTCCATCAAGCCTAGCCAGCCTCCCAGCTGGAGATGGGCTTATTTAAAGGCTCTCAGCAATGCATGTGGGTTGCTGCTCTGTGGCCTGCTATAATTCACCAGGGTTGCTTTCATCTTCCCAGCTCCTGTCCAAAAGCAGCTGAAGCTGCTCGTCTCCTCCTGACAGATCTTTGGTCGAACAGAGAGCTCCAGAGTGTGCTCAAGCAGGTAAGGAAAACACTTCTGCTTTTCGACTGACAAGAACAGCTCTGGTCTTGACTCACTCGCTGAAGTCGGTGAGTTTGCAAAGGCCATGATTCAGCAGTGAGTACGGGAAGAGCCCAGGGTGCTGCGCGGACCACGATGTTCTCAGGGACTAAGTAGATGGTGGTGTGTCTGTACCAGCCAGCTTGCACCCTAGGGATGATGGGCTCTCCCATGATGCTGTCATGTCTGCACACACTGCTCTGTGCTGGGAATGGACCAGGACATTTCATGCTAGCCTGGGAGATTCCCTTCACTGCAGTCCATCGTGTAGGATCAGCGTGTCCCAACAGATCCCTGGCAAGGCTCCTCCTCTCTTTCCCCCTCATTTTTTCTGTGTCCATAACCTTACCCTGTGGTTACATCACCGCTACAGTCAGGGTAATCTTTTAAACCAAGAAGAGGAGGATTTAGGATTTGTTTTGCTCCCTGCAACAGAAACTGTGAAAGTGCAGAGCCAGACAGGGCACCAATCCAGCTTCCAGCTCCCAGTGGCTTCCTTTGAACAAGCTGGGTTTTTCCAACTCAACAGCAGCAACACCTGCAGAGAGTAAAGGGCCAGATTAAAGAGAAGGAGTAGCATCCACAAAGAGGAGTACCCTGGGGGAAGGAAGGCAGAGAGAGTACCTAAATATCATTCTCGTATTAACAGTTAGGGATTTTCTCCATAGGAGCTTGTGTAGCTGTGTGCCAGGCTCTGCTCAGGAGCCCGTGCCAACTCATTTTGATGTGACTGAGTCACTCCTGTGTTCACACAGATGTTCATTGCATAGGTATACATAGGACAAGAAGGATGGGAGTCTGCAAGGATATATGCATCGTGCATATATCTTTGTTGTTTTTCCAGGATGAGGAATGAGATGAAATAATATTCAGTGAAGGACTGAGTAAAGGTTTTCTCTGGTAAAGAGGGAGAAATCTAGCTCTTGGTGGATGGAAAGCAATGTAAGGAAGATGAAATCCATCAATAAGGGTGATAGTTCATGTATCAAAGGCACACAGAGGGAGGACAGAGGAGGGTGTTTGAGAATGAAGCACACTTTTTAAGTGGAGGAGAGCTTTTTACATGAGGCAGGAGGCTCTCTCTCGAAGCAGTAGATAGCTATCAGTTTTGAAACCAATATGCACTCATTGCACTTCATACATATCTGCTTTTTCAGCAAGGATTTGATAAGAACATGATGGGATCTTTAGCTGGAACGACCTTCAGGACCCTCTCCTCCAGATTTTAGGAGCCTCTCCACGCACGTTTGGGCTGCAGGTGAGAACGGGACTCTTGTGCGTGGGGACAGGGTGGTTTTGGAGGCAGAGAAGGGTTGCATGAGCCCCATGAGCTTTTGGCTGTTTTTAGCAAACTATCCCCTGAACTGGGTTTGTGAGATTTTAATCACAAATCTTATCAGCCCAAACTGCAAAGCATTTACTTCCATGAAAAGTCAAAGTCGTGCAGTTCCAGGCTGCAGTGCAGATGTTGCTCACAGAACACAGCTGTGCATTTTAGACATGTTCAGTGCAGATGCCATGGGACAGAAACAGCCTCATGTGTCTTTGTTACTCACTTTGCCAGGCAGTAACTGATTAATTGCATTTTGCCAAATCCTCTCAGGTAGAGTTTTTCACAGCGATCTCTCTGAGAGTACTTTCATTCCTGAATTTTGAATAACATTATCCAGATATTGTCAGTAATGTGCAATTAATTCCAGCACATGCTATGACATTAACCATCACTCTTAGGGATATTTTGAGCACTTAATAATCTACCTGTAAGCCTCATGTCAAAACTCAAAACTCCATGCTGGCATCTGAAAAATCCCAATAGAGAAACTAAGTTAGAAAAATCATGGGCAGAATTTTCAGCACATCATTACGTTTTTTTATGCAGTGTGAAATGAGGATTGAATCTGTAAGGCACATTTGATTCATAATTCTCACTGAAGGGAAAAGCTCTAAAAAATTTTGCACTTTTCAGATGTCAGATGTCTCTATGATGGTGATTGAGATTACCCAGAATAAATTATTTGTTCCCTTCCCCATTGTACTCTTTGCAATCAAACCAAGCACAGTCCCAGTGTAAGAGAAAGTGGTGCAAAAGCCCATTTCTTTCATCTCCCAAGGCATAGATTTAATTTCTTGCTCTGCTGGGATATTTCTACTGAGACTCAGAGGAGAGTGGGAGTATAGTGGAAAAAGCTATGAGCAGCACAGAAACTGGGTACAGGCCAAGAAAAAAGATTAAAAGTTGGTTTTGGGTGTAATGAAAAGATTTCTTGAATGCTTTAATTATCTGGGGTTTTGGTTTGTCTTTGTTTTTCTCCATTTCAGAATTTGGAATTGGTTCATGTCCAGGAAGACAACCCTTTCACAGTTACTTAGGATGTTAAAGGTGTAGAGTGTCTCTGAGTTTAACTCAACTGTAAAGCAAACTAAACATATGGATTTCATGTGGATGATACTGATATTTTTAAGCATTTTCTTCTTTTTAGGGGGGAGAAGGGACTTTTATTGAGGTTATACTTTCTTGATGTCAATAATTTTTTTTTTTTTTTGCAAAGAGTGTGTCTGTGTAACTATGTGTGTGTCGCTGTGTATGTGAGCACACACGGTGAGTAGGATCTTCCTACAGGCTTAGTCCCCTGTCTTCCATCAAAGGTCGGTGTGAGTTGTGCAGTTTAACCCCCTTGTAGAGTTTTGTCCAATTCCACCCAATCCATGCACCAAATACTGCCACACTAAAAATATGTCACAACCTATTTTTAACCACAAGTATAAAAATTGCCAATTTTAGGTTGAGTCCCCCCATTGCATATGGCCGTTATAAACAGATACACACAACAATACTCTTCTTTATAAAGGCTGGTTATTCCTAACATTTATGAACACAAGCTTCTTTTCTGCTTATGAATTTTTCTCTGATGAGCTCTTATAGTTTTTAGTATTTTCTTTCCTGTCACGTGAACTCTTCATCTCAAGAAGCAAATTGACGTCTGCAAATTCTCTCCTGGGTCTCAGTAACCCTTCTCTGAAGCTGTATGTGAGGGGACAATTGCAACACTTCTGCAGAGCATGAATATTACCGGGTCCCGAACCATTTTGAGTGCCAGAACAACTCAATCTTGTGACTGTACCTGGACAAATGTGGTATTTGAGAAGCTGAGCTGGAGACAGGCAAAGTGTTTTATCCCCTCGGATCACTGACTGCCACACAGGACTGAAAAAGTGAGGGATGTGGCCTTTTTAATCACATTTTGTTTTTATTGATCAATGTAAAGAAATAGTATTAATATGCAAAGGAATGTAAGCACTTGTGTGAAGTCAGGTTTGGAAATGTTTTATTTCTCAATATCTAATTACATGATCACTCTGTGATGCTAAGGCTGTGATAGGGGACTGCTGAACTCATTTTAGGGCAACCCACTTCTTATGACAGTAACCATGTGATGAAAGAGGCTGATCTTCCTCTCTCCAGAAGAAAAATATCCCCTACCAGTCCCCAGAGGGGACACAGATCAGATCTGTAGGGGAAGGACCAGCTGAGGATGCATTTTCTGTCTGTCCCACACACGTGGTTATTGCTTCTTCTAACAGTGTAGGGGCACAGGACCCTGTTTTGCAAATATCAGGGGTGTAGGAGGTGCTTGGGAAGGACGAATTATGAGTTTGGAAAGGGAAAAACAGTCTAATTTTTTGCAAGTGTCAGACTCCTCAGTTGATGGAAATCAGCACTTCCCCATTCACTTCACAGAAATGGAGTGATTCGTGCCCACTAAAGAACCGTCCATGAAGTTCAGATTTGCTCTGACACTGTTCTAGACCCAAGAGACGTGGTGGCACTCGTTCGTCCTCTATTTAGACCATAGCGAGCGCATGTCCACAGAGGGTGATAATTTTCCAGTTGTTTTTCTCTTGGTCTACAAGGTGGCTTAATCTTGTGCACTTTAATGAGCAGCAGCTATTTGCTCACCTTCACCCACGTTCAGTTGAGAGCTTTCTGTGCAGAGCTCCCAGCCAAACGAGAAAGAAAAAAAGCACCTTTGAAGTGGAGAGCTAGAACCAGGAGAATCCGGTAGGACAGTTTCAGGAGCATTTAACCAGCAGCAAAGGAGCCCCAGCCCGTGGGCATGCCCTTGCCATACCTGCCAGCTGTTCCCTAGCTGGATGTATATTCTCAGATGCATGGTTCAAAGTGTTTTTGGCAGGACCCAAGACTCTGGATGTCTAAAATGGCTGCAGAATCCACAGGCAGGATTGTTACAGTTTTGGTGTAAAAGTATGTTGTGTGCAATTTTGCATTCAGATTTGTTCCTGTAATTACATGTTCAACAGAAGTCCTGGGAGCTAATGTTTTTCTGCGTCAAATTAATTGGGGAAACCTAACTACAAAACGTAATGATGGAATATTGAGGAAATTCATTCTAATTGGCTGTTATTTAGGCTTTATTTTAAAACACTGCTGCTGTTTTCTCTGGTAATGCAGTTTACTGAATCACTATATAAGGCTCAAAGAGCTGTAGCATTATGATCATCATCTCACAATTAATTTACAAGTACTGGAGATTTCATTAGTAAATATTAGACTCAAAGAGACAGATACATCATTCACATAAATTTTATGAAGTACAGCAAAGTTGTTTTTCCAAAGCTAATAAAATGATAAAATAAAATCTGTCTCTATCCTCAGAGATCTTCAAAACATGACTGGGCAGAGCCCTGTACAATCTCATCTGGCTTTGACGTTATCCCTGCTTCGAGCTGGACAGACCAGAGAGATTCCTTTCAATCTAATTATTTTTTTATGATGCTGTAATGCTGTATGTTACTGCTTTCATACCTCAAAATATAGCTAACAAGAGAGAGCAATGGGCTGTGTGAATTGTAACTGCTCTGCCATCCGAGGGCTATTTTGCAGCTATTTTTTTCCCCGGGAAATTCTCTGATTACTAAACTATTTTCCTCTGAGTCTCTCTGTTTGTAAAACATGGACTACAGACTCTTCCCAAATCGGTGAAGTGACACTGATGCCCAATTGTAAGAAAAGAAAGGAAAATAAGATTTATCGAAGTAACTGGTGTTGCTCATAACCAGCAGATTTGGGAGCTCAGTGAGGTTGCCACTGCAGTAAATGAATACTGTTTTCACCTCCAATGCAAATTTTTTTCATTCTAGGGAGACATTTTTTCTTAAAGGTATGTTTTGAACTGTGACATCCTCTTTGATGAGCTGTTTTCCTGTTTTTTGCTTCTTTAAGAGCCAAGGTAGGGCGTGCCCCCAGCCATGGGACAAGGGCAGGTCTACAGCACGTAGCACATACCCTGGGTCGTAGTGACGGAGAATTACTGAGGAGGGAAGGACCATAGTGAGCAGCACCCTTAGCTCTGCTGGCAGCAGAAATAAGAGCAGTTGGGGCCTGATTTGTGCGTGGGACACACAACCATGTAAATAAATACCATATTTGTTTGTCCTGGGCTTAGCAGAGCTTTTTGGTCTATTTTCTCATAAATGCTTTGTTTGTTTTGTGTATGTACAATCCAACCCACCCCAGCATTTCAGAAGCCTCATGGACGAGTAGAAGGCAGTAGGCAGTTTTATTCTTCTCTGATCACACACCAGTTTGAGACCAACATAGCCTACCAGTCCATAGCTATACAGTGTATTCTGTAAGATATAGGTATGTGAGAATAACGTATCAGAGTTTTGTTTTGGCTGTACTGTATGTATTTGCTTCATTGGAAAAGCTGAAATCAATAAAAATTGCTGGAATTTCTTCAAGCTTCCTGTTTTGGATGGGTTTTTTTGGTTGTCTTGCCACAGTTCTAGGAAAGAATAAAGCATCTGTCTGGAAGGTTTGTAAAAGCCTGTTGCCCTGCAGCAGACAGCTGTGCCTTATGCCAGTATGAGGAATGAATCTGTACATCACATTTCCTCCACCATTACAGCTTGGCAAGCTTCAGTGGGTTTCTCTCCCATGGGCTTTCACAGTCACTATTTCAATCCATGCAAAATTTAATTATCAATAGCATCATTTGTGTCACTCCAGTATGGATCCACAGATTGTTGTGGGGAAAGAAACCACACCTTAATTTCTTCTGAACCTGGCTCTTAGGAGCTGTGTTTGAAGCTCCCTAGGTCCTATATTTAAAAAGTTAAATGAGTTGATCCTCCTGCAGTTTCTCTTTGGTCCAGGCTGGAAAGACCCAGCTCACAGACCAGTTCCTCAGACAAAGCCATCAGCTCG